AAAAAAAAAAAAAATGTTTTCACTGAAATAGAATTACATAATTCCTCCCTCTTTCTCCTTCTATCACTTCTCTAATGCCCTCCCTTGTCCCTTCTCATGCCTTTTACACTCTCAAGTTGATAGTCTCTGTTTCTTTATTATTGTATATATGTATATACATGTACACATACATGTAAAAACTCTTGAGTACTCTTTGTTGTTGGATATCAAGTATATGATTTCAGGGTTGACCACTCTGCACCTGGACAACCAATAAGAGAGCTTAAGCTTTGGAGAAGATAATTATCCTTACCCCAGGAGTCATTAGTTGTGTGGAGCTCCCTTCTAGGGGAAGGACTCTGAAAATTTTCCCTTTGCGCATTAGCACATCTATTGATTTGGCCATTTTTCCAGTCTTGTTTTTGCAATCATTTCTAAGTGAGACTGTTTTATAGTAGACTTCTTGATATTCCGGTTCTTACAATCTTTCTGCCTCCTCTTCTGTGATGTTTCGTGAGTCATAGATGTAGGTGTTGTGATGTATTTGTATCTGTTGAGGCTGGGATCCCCACAATCTGTTGGTGTCTGAATTATATCCAACTGTGGCTCTAGGATGGACTCCATTTGCTGTAGAAAGAGATCTCTTTAGTAAGGGGTGGGAGCTACAATTACCTATGCATATAAGGATATGACTTAGAATGTAGTAAAGAATTATGCTGGTCAACCAAATCTGGTAGTAGGTTCTTTTATAAGGCCCATCACCTCACTAGCCCCACAAAGCTGTCTCATTTTTTAATCATATTCAACATCCCTCCTCCCCTTCTTCCTACATCTACTCACCATTTTGTTCGTGACCATTTCTTTTCTAATTTTTTCCACAAAGGCCAATTTGTGCTGTTCAAATATTCTTGTATGTGTGACTTTCCACCAAAGTATCAGGGTGGATTTATCAGGGTCTGTACTCTTAGAGAAAATTGACCCTTCCTCTTCCAGAGGCTAACATTTGCCAGTAACATCTCCATTAGGGGTAGAACATCATGCCCAACTTCCATCTCCATGCCAGGACTTTTTTTTCTGTCTTTGGCTTGCACAGGTCTTGTGCATACTGTCACATTTTCTGTGAGTTCATATGTGCATCTGCCCTGCTGTGCCCAGAAGACATCATTTCCACCTCTGGCTCTTATGCTCTTTCTCCCCCCTCTTCTTCAATGATCCCTGAGTCTTTCTAAGAAAGGGTGCAGTACATAATATTTAGGGATGAACACTTTGCAGTCTCTTATTCTTTGCACCTTCGCCCTTTGTAGCCTCGGTGTTCATCATCATCTACTGTAAACAGAAGCGTCTTGGATGGTGGTTGAGAAATATCTTGTATGTGTGGTTTTCTTTTTGTTTTACTTACTAGGGGCTACACTCTTAAGGAAAACTGACTCACATTCTCACTAAGTATTGCCACTAGCTTCTTGACTATTGGTGGGACTTTGTTCCCACTTCTTCTCTCTATACCATGATTTGATCTCGCTTAAAATTACACGGGTCTTGTGAATGTTGTCACAACTCCTTTCAATTGACATGTGCAGCTGCCTTGATGTGTTCATGAGACACTGTCTCCTTTTCATCACCCACCACCCCTGCCTTTTTCTGTCCCTTCTTCCATAATGATCTCTAAGCCTTAGGAAGAAGCAGTGAGTTACAGATGTCCCATTTATGGCTGAGCATACCATAGTCTTTTTTTGCTCTGTGCCTTGAGTGGCTGTGGGTTTCCATGTTAATCATCATCTAGTACAAATAGGAGTTTGACTGATATGGATTGAGAGATACATGAATCAATAGATATCACTGTAATTTATTTGGAATTGATTAATACTATACCAATTCAGCAGAGTGATAGTAGATTCTCCCCCAAGGTTGATGATATGTCTAGGCAAAGGGCTTTGACCTGATAATGGTGCCAAGTATGGGATTTATCTCATGGAACAGGCTTAATACAAAAAATAATGTTGTTTGTAATTTCCACAGTGTTTATGCTCACTGTGGTACAAGTTGATATGTCTTGCCAGGCAAGTTGTTATTGTAACTTGCAGAGTTTATAGCTGAGTGATATTGATTATTACTTTTCTCTTCTGGTAGCCCACATAACATCTTCCAGCACTATGAGAGCTATCCTATATCAAAAATTTTAGAAATCTAAAATTAAAAACTTAATGATGCAACAAAAAAATCTTGACAAAAGTGAACAAAAAATACCATAAGATGTTATATAGGAAGAAGGGATTGGAAAATGTTTACCAATCTACAAACCACATTATTGAACTAATACTCTGAATAGGGTTTGATTGAATTATAGTCATCGTTTACTTCTTTTAAAAAATAACTATTATTGCTGCTAATACTGCATATTGTGTGGACTTCATAAAGACATTTCATAGCAGTGCAACATGTGCTTTGAACATGCTCACTCACCATCACCTTTCAGGCCTCCCCATTCCCATTTTTCCTATTGCATCCTCCCCTCAGCCTTCTTTGTTATACTTAAAAAGATTATTTTTATTTTATGTGTATAATTGTGGCCTCTGGCAGTTGGATGAGGACTTATACCAGGTGCTTCAGCTGGCTTTTTGGAGCCCATTCCCTATGGTGGGAGACCTTGACAGCCTTGAGGCAGGGGGAGGGAGCTTGGTCCTCCCTCAACTTGGTATGCCAGCCTGTGATGACTCCCCAAGGGAGGCCTTACCCTTTATAATGAGTAAATGGGGGGTGTGATGAGGGGGAGGTAGGGGATGGGGCAGGGGAAGGTGAGGGAAGGGGAATTGTGATTGGCATGTAAAGATAAAAAAAAATTAAATAAAAAGATTTTATTTTAAATGTTGGCCTTCACATTCATGTGTGCACCACTTGTGTGCCAGGTGTCACAGAAGTCAGAAAATTGTATCAGACTCCCCTGGAACTGGGGGTTACAGAAAGTTATGAGCCACCAGGTGGGTGCTCAGAACTGAACTTCGTTCCTCTAAAACATCAGCAAGTTCTTTGAATGCAGAGCTATCTGTCTAGCACTGACTTTGTTATACTTTGTGCCTATCTTTCAAATACTGCATTTACTTCCTATGGAGCAAATGTATTGTTTTAAATGATGAAATGAGAAAAGGGAAGTCTCTATTCCCACATTCATGTTGTTTCCCCCTCTTACTTAAACCATAAATAAAAGCTTTCCTTTCATATAGTAATGTAAACAAATCCACATGGAAGTGGCCGCTCTTGAGATTACACATTATTGTCCTGTGAGGAGGAGAAATTTTCCCCATTTTTTCTTCTCATACCAGAACTCACCTGCAGTGTTGCCATTTCCTCCTTCCTTGGGTCAATACTTGCTTCCTTGGTTACTCATTGTGGCTGCAGATCTTCCAGGTGTACACTCCTCTATTTAAATCCCAGTGTTATATGACAATTAGGCATTCCAGTGAGAAACAATTCTGTTCTGAATACTAGAAATTTTAGGTTTATAAAGTCTTTTGTTTTCTTTCAAGTACCAGACAGAGAAAAGTGTAAACATTGGTGTAACAGATATGTTCTGTTCTTATTTAAGTAGTGAGGTTGAGGCCACCTTAAGATTAAGGTACAAGTGATGTGGGCATTCTATATATAACAAATGCTTAGCTGTTAGTAAAACTGTAGAAAAGATAGGGTTGAAATTTTCTAAAAATTCTTTACCTGTTAACAAAAACAAAATGTCTTCTTTGTATATTTTAATGATATTTTTCCAATTGTCCCCAACTCTCCAGGCTCACCCTGTGATTCCACCTTCATCCTGAGCTGTGCTCCATGCAATGTCATCTGCTCCATTATTTTCCAGAATCGTTTTGATATAAAGATCAGGATTTTCTTAACTTGATGAAAAAAATGGATGAGAATATCAGGATTATGAGCTCCCCCTGGGTGCAGGTGAAGTCAAGATCCTTTTCTTTTTAGAACATACATATTATCTTTCATTCTCATAGTTCAAATTCAATATAGACCAAGAAGTGAGGTGCACAAACACCACAGTTTGGAATAATATATTATTGAAAGAATATTTGGAAGTCAGGTCTAAAACTTTTGCTATACAAATAGCAAAACTGGAAGGCAAATGCGAGGTTGGCTCAAGCCTGCTAGTTCTCTATCCATCTGATGTCCACAGAGCTGTTTTTTGTAAAATATTATTGCAATCACATCTAGAAGTGTGGCCAGTTGTTCACAGGACATTCTTCTATGCATAACTCTTATCCTCTTTTCTATTACTAAACACATACTCATCATATTACTAGGTAGGAATATTTTAGTTTATAAAGAATATTCTCTTAAAGGCATAAGAATATTAATGGCAATTAAATCTGCTAGGAAACAATGAGTAGTTTCAGTGGTTTGATATGTCAGCTGGAATCCTAGTTGACAAGATGACAGCTAGAAATGAGAAGATGAGTGGTTTAATGCTGTGTGGCCCACACACATGTTCTCAACATTGTCTTAGACTGTACTGGCACCTCCTAAACTATCATAAAGAATGGCTGTGATCAGGGCTGCCCAGTGCAACAAGGCTTTGGGCAGTTGGGCTGTACTATGGTGAGCAAATGTGTAGTGTGGTATGGGAAAGAGAAAGAGAGAATGGTCCATGTCCTGTGGACAGAGGCACATCCAAAGAAGTGGAGCAGTAAGCAGTGGGGTGAGATGGGTTACTTGATTGCTACCCAGGGCCATAGTGATATCTGGGCTTTTGCTGCTGCCAGGGTCCATGTCTGAATTCATGGCCCTATTGCAGTCATGGTCTATATTGATGTCTGTGGCTCTTGATATCACTGAAGGCCAAGAGGAAAGAACAGTACAGTTGGCCCTGCCCATGTATTCACTGCATCACTAGGGAGATCAGGGCCTCTACCTCCTATGGGCAGCACAGTGGAGTTGATCCTGTTTACAGGGGTAGGGTGAGCCAGCCCCAAGGATGTGAGCTTGGGCAATCTGACCCTGTCCCTCATCTGACATATGGTAGCATGGGGAGGGGAGAGATGCTCCACCAACTGCAGGTGGGAGAGCTGCCCTTGCCCGCACCAGCTGCAGTACTCAGGAGTTCAGACTGCACTTTGCCTGGGCAGCCGAGTACAACCGACACTGTTGGCAGGGGTGTAGGTGAGTCAACCCAGAAGGTGTGAGTATGGAAGAGCTGGTCCCACTAACTGTCTGTCTTGTGGTGGTGTGGTTGGGATAGAGATGCCACCTTTAGTCTTCACTCCTTGCAGTCTGAGGCAGATGAGGGAGCTGACCCTCACCCTTAGCAGGTGCAGCACTCAGGAAAGGAGGCCATGCTCTGAGCCTGGGTAGCACAGTAGAGCTGACCCTGTTGGCAGAGGTGTGGGTGAGCTGGCCCTGAGGGTGTGAGAATGGGATAGCCTGGCAATTCTCCATCATCTGACATGTGGTGGTGAGGGAAAGGGCAAGATGACCTCCACCTGCCACCTGTTTTGGGTGAGGAAAGTGACCCTCCCCCTTACCAGCTTCAACACCGGGACCTTGCCTGAACAGCACAGCAGAGCTGACCTGTATGAACATTTTGGTGTAGGGGAGAGGGGGCTGAGTGTGAACCAGCTGAGAGAATGTGAGTGAGAGATCTGGCCCCTCCCTCATCTGCCTTATGGCGGTATGGGTGGGGGAGAGATTCCCTCCCTTCCCTCACATCCTCTGGCAGGTGGGAGGGCTGGCTTTGAGGTCATAATAGTGGGAGAGCTGTCCCTGCCCTTCACCAGCTGTAGCACTGGGGAGCGTGGCCCTGTACCTTGCTTGGGTAACACAGTAGACCTGGCCCTGGGAAAGCCAACTCTGAGGGCATGAAAGCAGCTCATTTCTATAAGGGGTGAACTAGCCAGGGCAATGTCAGAGAGCCCACCTTAGGCCTGATGGTGGGGGAGAGCTGGAGGGCTGGCCAACACTGCAACTTCCCAGGCTCAGGACAATGTTATGAGTTAGCCCACCCCAACATCCACCCCATCTGTGATCTGCTGGAGCATGTGGAGGGGCTAGTCCTGCAGACCTCAGACTTGAAGATCTTCACAGTGCAGGGCAGTGGCAGGATATCCAAGAAAACTCCCTTTGAATACCCAGTATTCATAATGTAACAGAAAACAGAGGCCTTGAGCCAGATCAATGACTGGTAGTGAACACTTGTAAGTAAAGATGTGTGGATAATAGAATTACTGCATAACTCACTGTATGGTGATATTTTATTTGTACTGAAATGTGATTTTATTTGTATGTTAATAAAGTTGCCTGGGGGTCAGAGCTAATAGCAAACCATCGCAGAAGCTGTGCGGTGGTGGTGCACGCCTTTAATCCTAGCATTCCAGAGGCAGAAATCCATGTGTTCAAGGATACAGCCAAGCATGGTGACTCACGCCTTTAATCCCAGGGAGTGATGGCAGAAAGCAGAAAGGTACATAAGGCGTGAAGACCAGGAACTAGAACCATTTAGCTGGTTAAGCTTTCAGGCTTTCTAGCAGCAGTTCAGCTGAGAGCCATTGGGATGAGGACACAGAATCTTCCAGTCTGAGGAAATAAGGCCAGCTGAGAAGTTGGCCAGGTGAGGTTAGCTGTGGCCTGTTCTCTCTCTGATCCTCCAGTGTTCGCCCCAATAACTGGCCTAAGGTTTGATTTTATTAATAAGAACTTTTAAGATTCCTGCTATATCACTGTGTTACACTATAGCTTCGACGAGTGATTTTTCTTTTGTCCTCTTTAATTTTATTTATTTTATTTGGGAGATTATTGTAAGGGCAGAGGGTGGACTAGGGGGGTTGAGGAGGTGGGTGGAATCGAGAGGCATGGTGTGAGGGACACAAACAATAAATAAAAAGCAAATTAAAGAAAGAATGATTGTGATCATAGAGAAATCACTAAAGGCAGTGGTACAGTTTTGCTTTCAAAGCCTCTTGGAGCCTTACCCACTTCTAAATACTCATTTCATGTCATAAGCTGGTTTACAGGAGTTAAATATGTATGTGCTATTTTTATGCCATAAATAATTTTTCCAACTCTCTTCACTTGTGCCATTATCTAAAAACTGTAAATGACAAAAATTTGCACCATATATTTCAGAATAATTGGAAATAAATGGTATAAGCCGTCAGTGAATTTTCACAAATATGCTTTACACTAAAATGGATTCAAGAATGTGGGAAACTGATTATGATTCTTGATCATTTGTGCAGTAATTTCTCCCCCAAATCTCTCTACTATCATGTAGAATTGCTACATACATGAAATAATACACACACCTTTTCCTTATGTTAGACACCATTTTTCATTCATGTCTGAATCTATAAACCCAAATTGGTCTTGATATATATTATAGATATGTGCATTTCCTCATATCTGTTCATTTAAAAAGTTCTTTGGCAAGGGCTGGAGAGATGGATCAGTGGTTAAGAGTGTGCACTGATCTTCCAAAGGACCTGAGTCTAATTTTCAGCATTCATGTTAGGTGTCTCAAAACTACTAGCTTCAGGGGATCTGATAGCTTTGGCCTCCAAGGCACCCATACATAGATGGCACACACAGTTATGCATGCATACACACACCACACACATGATTAAAAGTAAAACAATTCATCTTAACACAAAATTCTTGGTCCAATTTTGTAGGTCTGCAATAATTTCCCTTGGCTATTTGACTATTGTCCAGGAAGTCATCGAACGGTATTGAAAAATGTTGATTATGTCAGAAGTTATCTTTTGGAAAAAATAAAAGAACATCAGGAATCATTGAATGTTGCAAACCCTCGTGACTTTATTGATTATTACCTGATTAAACAAGAGCAGGTAAAATGTTAATATTAATTTATTTTATTGCTTCAGCATTTTGTGGTTAATTGAACACTGAAATGTTTGTCAGAAATGATTTAAGTCAGTAGCATTTGAAAAACAATTTTAGTATGGATTATGTGTTGGGACGCACCATATGAATACCGATAAAAATAAAGGGAATTTGCTAACTGGAGCACATTCCCTCTGTTCTTTAAAAAGTGTAGCAGAGGAAAATACAACACAAAGGCAGGAAAGATAGGAAAAAATTCCAATCAAGTAGAAAATAATCAAATATCATGGCAGTGTGAAAATTGGCACCATAAATGCACATAGTATGGCTAGATTTCCTGCATGTCTAGTGGATAAAAATTGATCTGGCCATGATGTTTATTTTATTTTATTTTATTTTATTTTTGTTTTGTTTTTCATAATGTTTATTTTAAAATTAAAGATCCAGAAGTTAATTTCAGAAGCACCTAGTGGTGTATGGAGAAGTATGTCATGGGAAAGAGTAGGTATATGGAAGAATGAGGTGTTGAGTATAAGTTCAAGTTAATTTTCCCTGAAATGGGTTAAAGATTGGTATCTATTGGGTATCCTTTCAGCATGATCTGCATTGGCATTGTGTAGTTTATTCAAAAGACACGTTTCCATTGGATTTCCTTGGGACTCTGTAAAAACCTGCTGGTTGACTATAGATGTTTGGGTTTGATTGTGGTCATGGATTCTACTCCACTGATCGTAGTTTGTTCTTTGCTAGCAATCTACTACCCTGAGTTTTTCATTACTGCAAGGGAGTAACAATACTTAATATCCTGACATCTGAGTTCTCTGATGTTGCTGCTTTCTTTTGACAGACTATTTTGTCTAGTTTGTGCCTTTTAAAATTGTAAGATACAATTCATAAAGACCACTGAATATAAAGTGATATCTCAGGGTTGTAACCATGTTTAATTTATATTATATTCTGGTTTGAAAGCATTCCATTACAATGAAGATAAAACACGCCCACCTCTCCACACCATCTGTAGCAGTTGTTAGTGTGATTTCTGCATGTATAGATTTGCCTATGATGAATGGATCATCTAAACTGACTCAGTATGTGTGGCTTTCAATTTCTACCTTGCACTTGCATAAAATCTTGGACATTTATCTAAGTTTATCTTGTTCAATACTTTCTTCTTTCTTTGCAACAAACTTCATTTTCACGCATTAATAGCACAATGCACTTATTGCTCCTAGAAGGATATTTGTATCATTTCTATCAGCTGTAGGTGTTCTCTGGTAAAATTTTTGGGGTCACTTATGTATACTATCATATCATCTGTAAGTAGTGAAATTTGACTTCTTCCTTTCTAACTTGTATGCCCTTGATCTCCTTTTGTTGTTATTGCACTAGCTAGAACTTCAAGTACTATGTTGAATAAGTATGGGGAGAGTGGACAGCCTTGTCTTGTTCCTGATTTTAACGGAATCACTTTGAGTTTCTCTCCATTTACTTTGATGTTAGCTGTTGGCTTGCTGTAAATTGCCTTTATTATGTTTAGGTATGTTCCCTGTACTCCTGATCTCTCCAAGGCCTTTATCATGAAGGGGTGTTAGTTTTGTCAAAGGCCTTTTCAGCATCTAATGAAATGATCATGTGTTTTTTTTTTCTTTCAGTTTGTTTATATGGTGTATTACATTGACAGACTTTCATATGTTAAATCATTCTTGCATCTCTGGGATGAAGCCTACTTGACCGTGGTGGATAATGTTTTTGATGTGTTCTTGGAGTCTGTGTGCCAATATTTTATTGAGTATTTTTGCATCAATGTTCATAAGGGAGATTGGTCTGTAATTCTCTTTCTTTGTTGCATCTTTGTTTGGCTTGGGAATCAGAGTAACTCTAGCCTCATAAAAGGAGTTTGGAAACATTCCTTCTGTTTCCATTGTGTGGAACAATTTGAAGGGTATTGGTATTAACTCTTCTTTGAAAATCAGGTAGAATTCTGTGTTGAAACCATCTGACTGTTTCTATTTCCTTAGGGGTTATTGGTCTATTTAAATAGTTTATCTGGTCTTGATTTTAACTTTGGTATGTGGTACCTATCCAGAAAATTGTCCATTTCTTTTAGATTTTCCAGTTTTGTGGAGTACAGGTGATTGAAGTATGACTTGATAATTTTCTGGATTTCCTCATTGTCAGTTGTTATTTCTGATTTTGTTAATTTGAATGCTCTCTCTCTCTCTCTCTCTCTCTCTCTCTCTCTCTCTCTCTCTCTGCTTTTTGGTTAATTTGGATGAGGGTTTGTCTATCTTGCTGATTTTCTCAAAGAACCAACTCTTTGTTTCATTGATTCTTTGTTATGTCCTCTTTGTTTCTATTTTATTGATTTCAGCTCTCAATTTATTTCCTGGCATCTATTCCACCTAGGTGGCTTTGCTTCTTCTCCTTCTAGAATTTTCAGGTATGCTGTTAAGTCACTAGTGTGAGATTTCTCCAACTTCTTTATGTGGGTTAGTGCTATGAATTTTCCTCTTATCAGTGCTTTCATGGTGTCCCATAAGTTTGGGTATGTAGTGCATTCATTATCATTTTTCTCCAGGAAGTCTTTAATTTCTTTCTTAATTACTTCCTTGACCCATTGATGATATAGTTGAGCATTATTCAGTTTCCATGAGATTATAGGCTTTCTTTAATTTTTGTTATTGCTGAAATCTAATTCTAAACCATGGTGGTCTGATAGAATACATGAGGTTATTTTAATTTTTTGTATCTGTTGAGATTCGCTTTGTGAGTGAGCATGTGGTCAATTTTAAAGAAAGCTCCATGGGGTGCTGAGAAGAAGGTATATACTTTTTTGTTAGAGTGGAATGTTCTGTAGCTATCAATTAAGTCCATTTGAGTCATAGCATCAATTAGGTCCCTTATTTCTCTGTTAAGTTTCAAGCTGGCAGATCTGTCCAGTGGTGAGAGTGGGTTGTTGAAGTCTCCCACTATTAATGTATGGGGTTTGATGTGTGATTTAAGCTTTAGTAATATTTCTTTTACAAAATGTGGATGCCCTTGTATTTGGGGCATAAATGTTCAGAATGGAAACTTCATCTTGGTGGATCCTTTCTGTGATGAGTAATGTCCTTCTCGGTCTCTCTTGATTGTCTTTAGTTTGAAAACTACTTTGTTAGATATTAGGATAGGTACTCCAGCTTGCTTCCTAGACCATTTGATTGGAAAGACTTTTCCCAGGCTTTTACTCTGAGGTAGTGTCTGTCTTTGAAGTTGAGGTGTGTTTCTTGTATGCAGCAGAAAGATGGGTCCTGCTTTCATATCCATTCTGTTAGCCTGTGTCTTTTTATAGGTGAATTGAGTCCAATGACATTAAGGGTTATTAATGACCAGTGATTGTTAATTCCTGTTATCTTTTGGTGGTAGTGTGTGTGTATTTCTCTTCTTCAGGATTTACTGCTGTGAGGTTATCTATTGCCTATGTTTTTGTGGATGTATCTGACTTCCTTAGGTTGGAATTTTTCTTCTAGTGCTTTCTGTAGGGTTGGATTTGTGGATAGGTATTGTTTAAATCTGGTTTTGTCTTGGAATGTCTTCTATGGTGATTGAAAGTTTTGCTGGGTATATTAGTCTAGGGTGGCATCCATGGTCTGTTAGTGTCTGTATTATATCTAACCAGGACCTTCTGGCTTTCATGAGAAGTCAGCTGCTATTCTAATGGGTATGCCTTTATAAGTCACTTGATCTTTTTCTTTTGCTGCTCTTAATATTCTTTCTTTATTCTGCATCTTTAATGGTTTAATTATGTTTAATGTTTAATTTTTGTATTTATATAAATATTATATATAAATAAATAGTTTAATAATGTTTAATTATGTAGTAAGGGGACTTTTTGGGGGGGTCTAGTCTATGTGGTGTTTTATAAGGTTCTTATATCTTCATAGGTATTTCCTTCTTTAAGTTGGGAAAGTTTTCTTCCATGATTTTGTTGAATATATTTTCTGTGCCTTTGAGTTGGTATTCTTCTCCTTCTTCTTTCCTTATTATTCTTAGGTTTGGCCTTTTCATGGTGTCCCAGATTTCCTGGACATTGTGTTATGACTTTGTTGGCTTCAGTGTTTTCCTTGACTGATTAATCTATTTGGTCTATTGTATCCTCTACACTAGAGATTCTGTCTTCTATCTCTTGTAGTCTAGTAGGTTATGCTTGCATCTGTGTTTCCTGTTCATTTACTCATATTTTCTATTACCAGCAATTCTTCTGTTTATGTCTTCTTCATTGCATCTATTTTAATTTTCAGATTTTGAACTGTTTCCTTCACATATTTAATTGCTTTTTCGTGGTTTTCTTTGCTTTCTTTAAGGGATTTATTGATTTCTTCCCATTTTTGTTTGTCTTTTCTAAGTTTATTTAATGGAAATTTTCATTTTTTCTTGAAAGGCCTCTAGCATTCTCATGAAGCTATTTTTAAGGTCACTTTCTTCTGCTTCTTCTACATTGTGATGTTCAGGTCTTGAAGCTATTGTATATTTAATTATTGCCCTGATTTCATTTCACATTATTACTTTCTGCTGTATAGAGTTATAACTGGACTTAATTATTTGTTGTCCTGAAATTGTACTACAATCATTTATTAGCTTTAATTGATTTTTTCTAATCTGAATTACATGTGATTTTCTACATATTTTATAACATTTCTTCATAAATATCATTGTATTTTATCCTTTCTAATTTGGATTTCCTTATTTCATTTATTAGTTTAATTTTTAAGATGATTTCTAGTGTTACATCAAATAGTTCAAAAGTACCTGCTCTTAGATTTTATTTCCATACTAAATTTATACTAAACTTTTGATCTTTTGTAACACAATGTATCTTATATTTTTGATGTTCCTAGATGTTCTTTGTGGTACATTCCTTGTCTTCTAGCCGTACTTTCTAAGTATTCATACCATTAATGTTTATATCAACAATTGTCAACTGCTTTTCTGTGTCAACTACAATGACCATATCCCTTGTTTGTTT